GGAGAAGAGGCAGATATTTAAGTGTAAACAATAAAATAAAATTGTATTTAATTAAATCAAAATGACAATTAAAATTATATCATGGAATGTTAATGGCATGAATAATAAAGCCCAAAAATTGAATATGAGTTATTTAAAAAAAAATAGACATAATCTGTTTACAAGAAATACACGTAACATGGAAACACAATAGAGTTTTAAAGAATAAAAAATTGGGGAATGAATTCATTTCCTCAGATGTGCAAAAGAAGAGAGGAGTTGTTATATATGTCAAAAATAAATATAGTACACAACAAATATTTAAAGATAATGAAGGAAGAATAGTAGGAATACAAGTACAAATAGAAGGAGAAAAATAATCATAGTCAGGATATATGCGCCAAAACGAAAAGAAAGCAGACCTTTACAAAAAATTACAGGAAATATGGATTACATAGAGGAAATTACGTAGAGGAAATACATTAGAGGAAATATTGACTACATAGACTATAATACTATATTGTTGGGAGACTTCAATGAGGTAATCTCCACTGAACTGGATAGATCAATAAGAAGAATGAAATCGGACCAGGGAAATTACCAAATTCTTTTATATCCTTAACAGAGAATAATGAATTAATGCATATAAGGAGACTAAAAACCCATTAACAAAACAATTCACATATTACTCAGAACCAAATCAAAGGTGGAGCCGGATACACCAAATTTGGATATCAAAAGAACCAACTACAAGAGTGGTGAAAGCTGAAATTTTACTGAAGACGTTATCAGATCATAATGTTACTGCAGTGGAACAGAAGACTAAAGACCCAACAGCTAGGAAGTGGAGAATAAATGACGAATTGTTAGACAATACAGAAATATTAGAAAGAATTAAAAAATATCTAAGTACCGTGTTTTTCGCCCCATAGGACGCACCGGCCCATAGGACGCACCTAGTTTTTTGGGGGGGAAATAAAGGGGGGGAAATTATTTTTCCCCCCCAGGTGCGGGGATGGGGCGGGGATGCCCGAGCTCCCCGACCCCAGCCCCCAGAACAGGCTGCTATCCGCAAGCCTCGGGAGCCCGGCGGGAAGTCACGCCAGTCTCCCCAGGCTTGCGGATATCTGTCCCCCAAGCTTGTGGGGCTGGCAGTGGGGAGAAGCGCGCTTCTCCCAGCGCCAGCCTCGGAACAAGGTCGGGGAACAGTGGGAAGGCGCGCTGCACCTCCCCGCTGTCCCCCGAGTTTGTGGGGCTGCCCGATATCTGCACGAAGCCGAAGGTGCCCTGCGCAGCGCTCCCCAGGCTTCGGGCTGCAGGCTGCTATCCGCAAGCCTTCGGAGCGTGGTGGGCACTCCCGCCACGCTCCGAAGGTTTGCGGATAGCTTCCTGAAGCCTGGAGAGCGAGAGGGGTCGGTGCGCACCTGCATTTGCCTGCATTTGCCCCATAGGACGCACACATATTTCCCCTTCATTTTTGGAGGGGAAAAAGTGCGTCCTATAGGGCGAAAAATACGGTACATACTTTGAATTAAACCTAAATAAAGGTACAGACATAAATGTAGTCTGGGATGCAAGTAAAGCTATTATGGAGGATTCTGCTTGCTGCTTGCTGCCTGCTGCCCAGGAAGACTCCCTTGTGGTGAGTGCCTGAGGGCCCTGCTCTTGCCACTTACCATCTGGCCTGGGGCGGGGCCTGAAGCCTCACAAGGACTGCTTGCTGCTTGCTGCCTGCTGCCCAGGAAGACTCCCCTGTGGTGAGTGCCTGAGGGCCCTGCTCTTGCCACTTACCATCTGGCCTGGGTCGGGGCCTGAAGCCTCACAAGGACTGCTCTGCTGCCCAGGAGGACTCCCCTGTGTGAGTGCCTGAGGGCCCTGCTCCTTCTTGCCACTTACCACCTGGCCCAGGGAGGGCCTGACAGGCCTCACAAGAACTGCTCCTGCCACTTACTATCTGGCCCAGGGTGGGGCCTCACAAGGATGGTTGTTGCCACTGATGCTGCTACTGCCCAGGAGGACCCGGAGGGGTGCAGAGTTCTTTTTAACATGTTTTTTTAAAAAATATTTTCCTTTCCCTTTAGATTTTTTATATATGGGGGTGGGATGGATGTTTGGGTGGGCTTGGGAATTTGTTAGATTTTGATGAATTTGTAATTTTTGCAGTTTTTATTTGTATCGTTTTATTGCTTTCTGGGTTGTTTTGGTTTTTTGTTTTTATTGTTTTAAGGTTTTATTGTTTTAGGCTGCGAAAGAATAACATTAATTGCCATCAATGTAGGCTACTATGAGGCCTGGGATTGCTACCGTGGAGGGGCGAGGGAGGTATGGCGGTGGGGGCAGATGTTATAGGCGAAGGGGATTGAGATATGGATACGCTCGTACCCCTTCCAATCTGCGCCCCATCCCGAGGGACGAGGGTAGGGTGAGCAAGGATTACTCACCTCCGTCACCGGTGCTGTGCAATGCTAGGTCTATAGGCAACAAAACCGCCACCCTGCGAGATTTCTTTATCTCGCAGGGGGTTGACCTGGCTTGTGTGACGGAGACCAGGGTGCGCGAAGGGGCAACAGTTACCTTACGAGAGATGGCGCCCCCGGGTTTCTCCGTCCTCCACCAGTCGCGGACTGTGGGCCGGGGGGGAGGGGTGGCATTATTAATCCGGGAAGATTGTCCTTTCAGGGCTCTACCATCACCATCGATCCCCGGCATTGAATGTGTTGGCCTAGTGTGGGGCTCCGAGGAGAGCTTGGCTGTCTGGCTGGTGTACCGGCCACCTAGCGCACCAGCAGCCACCCTGTCAGGCCTATTGGAGGCGGTGGCCGGCTGGGCCTTGGAGTTCCCTAACCTATTGGTATTGGGGGGACTTTAACATCCATGCTGATGCCACTCCCTCCTCATAGGCTCTGGACCTGGTGTCTTCCATGGCGACACTAGGGATCTCCCAGTTTGTTTCGGGCCATCAAGCAGGCCACACACTGGATTTGATCTTTGGCATAGGTATAGATGTGATCATGTCTCCTTCGATGAAGGTGCCATGGTCTGATCACTACGCTCTGAAAGCCAGGATTGACTTTCCACCCCCACCCTGCTTAGGTGGCGAGCCGATTTGGGCTCGCCCGCAGAGGCTGATGGACCCTGATAGATTCCGCCAAGCCTTGCGGGACCTTGCTCCCCCTGGCGACTCATTGACTGAGCTTGTTGAGAGCTGGAATACCCAGCTCCTGGCAGCCATCGATGAGATCGCACCTAAGCGCCCTCTGCGACCCCGCAGAAACCGGGCTCCCTGGTTTACCGTGGAGCTCCGGAAAATGAACAGGGACCTCAGACGGCTAGAGCAAGTATGGCGGGGTGCCCATGACAGAGCCTCAAGAACATCTTATAGGGCTTTTATGAAAACCTACGAGATGGCGGCGAAGGCTGCTAAGAAGTCATACTTCTCGGTCTCCATTGCATCCACTAGCTCTCGCCCAGCACAATTATTTAGTATAATCAGGTCTTTAACGTCCCTTGAGGGACAGCCAAATTTAAATAACAATTTGACACTCAGCTGTGAGGCATTTGCGAGCTTTTTTGCGGAGAAGGTCTTGTTGCTCCACCATGACCTCCCTGCCAATTTGGATACAATAAAGGAACTGGAGGCCCCTCGACTGTCCTCGGGTCCAGTATTGGACCACTTCGACCGGATATCCCCAGCTGATGTGGACAGACTCCTCCGAGCTGGAAAGCCCACCACCTGTCCTCTCGACCCGTGCCCGTCTTGGCTGATTAGAGCATGTCCA